CCGGGGGGACTGGAAGTTTTCAGCAAGACAAAATGAGCAAGTTCCACCATCTTTGTAGGTGCAATGTCAACATGCTTACCAAAGGGCCACAACACTTTTTTGTCATTTACCTTCCTGCATTTCTTGTCCCCCACCTACTCACAACACTTGTGGGAGAATGCATGGGTTCACTTGCCTACAATTTATATTTGGCACCTTTCCAATGCATTATTTTTTTAAAAAATAGTTTGCCTGCATGCAATTAACATCTATCAACATTGTTCAGTTTTTTAAAATATGTAATTCTGCAGTATGTGTACACACACACACACACACACACACACACACACACACACACACACACACACACACAGAGGGAGAGGGAGGGAATGCAGGCAGATATTTGAAAACGGCGGAATGCTCGGTTGTAAATTAAAATGTATAATTTTTCTGTTTGATTCTGTTTTTCAAGAAAAACATGGATCTATGGGAGAAAATGAAATGCAGTAATCATTTCTATACATCCTTTACTATTTCATTGTGGTACCTTACATATGATTAATTTGCTCTACATCCTCAATTTTTTAAAATTATATGCAAAAGTACACTGAGTGAGACAACAGTGACATGTTCTAAATGAATTCACTTCAAATTTATTTAAAATGTTTTAAATTCTTAAATTCCACATAGGCAGACTTATAAGTGTGAAATTGAATCTTCCTTCTTTTGATGAACATGGGCCAGGGTGTGTATATGTTTGTACAGGTGTGACAGAAATGCATATTGATCTTGCATTGGGCAGTTTTTTTATACTATTTGCCCTCTGTATATAAGAACTATAGTGCTTTGATGCATTAGAAAATATACGGGATAGCAATTTATGAACCTTGTGTGTTGTGTTACCCATTAGGTTAAAAGGAAATCTACTGTTGGTATTTATTATTACTTTTTCCAATGGTTTTCAGTTTCTTCTATTTGTTGGGGGGAAATGGAAGGGAAAAACCCAAGAAAAATGGTATTTGCTCTCATTATTCTCTTTCTGTCCCTCCACCCCTCCCCCTTTATATCTCTAGCCACAAAGATTAAAAAACATAAGCAACCACTAAATTAGACAAGATGATTTCCAGTGAAACTGAAAGTTTCATAAAGTTTCCCACAAATTTTACAGTGGAATTCTTGTGGCTTTCCTTTTTTCAGATAAGCAGTCAGGGAAACCATATTTGTGGGATGAGAAATAATTGTTGCCTTTGGGCTTGGCTGGAAGGGAAATGCAAGTGTGATTTATGCTCCACTGGGGAATACTCTTGGGTCCTGTTCCAGCTTACTCTTACAGCTGATTTTTATAGGCATTGATGCAAGAGATGACCCATGGCAGAGGTTATTGTACATGTTTTGTGATGTCCAGAAGACCCTGGATGTTTTCTTTAGATACAGAGGGGGAAAACGTGTGGGCATGTTTTGGGAGTAGAATAGTAACAGTAGTTGATGAAATTTTTTTGATAGTCTTTGATTGATGGCCCCAATTGGGCCTGAACTTTTTGTTGTTAAGCAAGAGAGTTCTTAAAGGAATTTTGCCCATTTTATAACACTTCCTGCCACAGTTATTAAATAAATTCCTGCAATTATTAAGTTGGTAACAAGGTTGCTAAGTGACTCTGGCTTGTTGACTTCGCTTGTCAGAAGGTTGCAGAAAGCAGTTACATGACCTGGGACATCATGGTGGTAACTTCATTACTGATCCCGTTATAACTTTGAACTATGGTTGTAGGTCAAGAACTACCCATATGCTCTTTTTCCAGGGCGCTGCTCAGGAGAGTCCAAGCAAGGGTTAAATACAGCCAAACTGCCCAGAACTGAATTGAAACTTTAAGCCACGCCTCTGGTGCTGAATATCTCCAGTTTTTTTTCAATTCAGCTAGCCCAGTGGATACGCTTAGAGTTTCTCTTCAATTCTAACAGTTTTGCTTGGACTCTCTTGAGCCTAAATTGTAAGTAGTGTTAAATTTGAGGTGTGAGCAGGCTTNTAGCAGGTTCACATCTTTTTTAAGTATAGGTAGCATTTGGAAAAGAAATAAAAATTTAGGTAAAATATTGAAAACATTTGGAGGGCACCAGCTTGTCTATGGTTTCAGGACAATAAAGTTTATTATCTCTTTGACAACATGAACACTGCTGAGTAGGTGTATCTAGTGCCTTCTTCTTCCAAACAATTTCAATCTCAATCATAATATCTCCCCCCCCCACTGTTTAATTAAAGTTTGTTTCTGATTGAAACAGTCTGCAAGGTTTATCTTCTGTAAAGATGTCCCTGCACCACGTCTGTGAGTAACTCCTCATTCTTGGCCCAGGAAGAGGGTTGTGTGTACAAGCTTCTTGTCTACAGTCCTCTGTTTGGCCATTATGTTTTTTTCCCCATTTATTCTTTACTGTCCAGGGACTGACAGGACCAGGCTTATACTCCATCATTCAGATAACTTCTGGTGGAGGAGACATTTTTTTTATCAGAACAATCATCTTGTTTTTGCAATTCCATGCAGCCCCCCAACTCTGTGCTACAATTAGGAAGCTCATAATGTGGAGACAATTTATTTTTCTCACAGTACTCAATTTTTTTCAGGGGCACCAGGGTGAGAAGTCAAGCATTGTGTAAGTTGTCAGTGGAATATATAGAAGGAATGTCTGGAAATGTCAAGACTGGTTTTGATACACCCAGGGGTTTTTACAACCAATTAATCTGAATTTATGATGTTACTGATAGTTATTCTGTGATTATGAAATTCAGTGAACTGTATTACTAACAATTGGCTCTGAGAAAGCATTAAAAACATTGAGTTCTTTTCAGGCTCAGGTCTGTCTGTCTTGTCTGTCTATCAGTCTATCAGTCTATCTGTCTCTGTCTATATTTCATACTGGGCGGTGTACAATTTAATCGATAAAATTAAGCATTAAAACCAGAATAATTTATTTTTTTTTTCTAAAAATACAAAAACCATTAAAAAAATACAAAAGATGGAGAGTTCCAAGGTAGGGAGCTTAGCAATTGTTAAAATTGGGAGTGGGCTTTTTATGAGGCAACCAGCTCCAGTGTTGTGTGTGCCCCCCCCCCCAATGCAAGGCTACACAGCCAAGTTTTGACCCTATTTCAAATGCCAAGAGATTGGAGGCTTTCCTCACCTCCAAGGGCAAGATTTTCTACAGAGAAATCGGGTTGGCAGCAGAAAGGCCTTCTTTCTAGACCCCACAAGCAAAAATTATTTGACTGATGGGGTTTGTAGCATACCCTCCCTGCCTGAACAAGTGGGACAGGCTGATGCGAAGGGGCGAAGCCAATTCCAAAGGTAGCCAGAACCTAAGTAGGTTCCGTAGGTATTCATTTATTTATTTGTTTTTTCTTTGATTGACTGCTTTGCTACCTACCGTATATACTCGAGTATAGGCCGACCCGAATATAAGCCGAGGCACCTAATTTGACCACAAAAAAACAGGAAAAGTTATTTTCGAGAATATAAACCTAGATTGGAAAGGCAGCAACTACCGG